AAAAAAAACTACTCACCAAAGGTAGACGATAAACTGTTGCAATAGTTTGATGGGTCAGAATTTGGTGTTAATAAAAGCATTCTGTCCTGTATCAACAGGTCAGCAGGTCAGAGTGGTAGTGGTAGAGTCTTTGTACATATTTGGGCCTCTAACTTCCAAAATGCCACCTCCTCCCTGAGTATTGTTGCTATGGTTGTCCATCCCTTTACAATCACAGAACAGCCATCATCTAATGACTGATTCCAGGATGATGATGCACCGTTTCACAAACTCAAATAGCCTCTTCATTCACTAGATCTTAATCCAACAGAGCACATGCAAAATGGGAGATTCACATCACGCATTTGCAACTGATAAGTCTGCAACAACTGTGTAATATTATCATGTCAATATGCTCCAACACATCTGAGAAATGTTTTTTGTTGAATATGTTACAGCAGTTCTGAAGGCAAAAAGGATCCAACCTTGTACCACCAAGGTGTGCTTAATGAAGTGGCTTAAAAAGAAGTAAGCTTAAGCATGGGATAATTGCTGTTATCAGTGTGTCTCATGAGAGAGACATCTGTTAAGGAAAAACATCAAACATCGGTCTGTTTCATGTATGTTATTACAACGGAAACAAAAGCTCAAAGAGACCAAAGCTTGGACGAATCTTCAAAAGCAGTGATGAGCTTGTTTGGTGGCACTTGTAGCATGGTACCATGCTAGGACAGAAATGAGCTGTTGTTGTACCTTAACCTAAACACACACCTCTGTCTCTCCTGGTGGACTCGGAGGAACAGGAATCCCTCCCTCTGTAGATACAAAAGGATCATTCTAAGGTTAGAAAAACACGGCAATAGTGTCATCAAAGTCCTACATATGACCTTCACACCTACACACCAATTTGGACTTTTTCGAGCTAAAATTTCCAAAATGATCCTTCCACGAAACCCTAATTTAGTTCAGTCATTTGTTTGTTTCATTATCCCTCTTTTTGTAAGGTATAGTCTGCAATAGTAATCTTAGATACAGGTGATCCTAGCAGAGCCTCGAACCAGCAATCTGTGGGTAACTAGGCAGATTGCCAACCAGCCCAGCTTTTTTTTTTTTGTAATTGCCCACCCGGAAATAGCAGGCTGAACCAGCCCTGATCACCCCCACTTCAAAGAGTATAAATTCCCCCTTTACACAAAGACTTCCCCCCCAATTGTTTTTAATATTGGGGAGTGGTATAAAAGCTGAAGTTGTGAATAAACATGGGTGTGGTTACTTTGTCAGCTGTTCCGTTTCTCATGAAAGTACATTTTACGAACTCCTCATATCATCAAAGAGAGTTCC